GACTGAACCCTCTGAAGCCATAAGCCAAATATACCTCTCCTCCTTTAAGTTGTGGGTGTTGGGAATTTTGTCCCAGCAATGAGAAAGTGACTAAGACACCCAAAGTATTGTCAAAGTAGTAGAGCCAGGTAACTGTGGAGGGCATTTTCTTGGGTGTGATACCATACCAGTGGGTCCTCCAGAGCCTTAATAGGGAGGTAAGAACAGGAGGTGAAAAGAGCCTGAGAAAATGCATGTCATCTCTAGTGGCCAGGGAGCATACACAGGGCCACAGTTGCCTCCTAGAAGAGCCTTCAGAGGGTACACATTAAGAGGAAACAGTCCTCACTGAACAAGTTCAGCCACAACACTAAACAGAGAAGCAAGCAGCAATAGCAGACCACAAAGTAGGCAGACACCAATATTCAGGGTCACCCCAAGACATTATCCATAATGATCTGTTTTCTAGAAAACCCAGGAAGATATAATGCAAACACAGGGAGAAGTGTAGGCAGTTAGTGAGGAGGGGCCTGAGTGTCAGATTAGTCAGGCAAAGACTCCACAAGCAACTGTTATAGTGCTGTTCAAAGAACTAAAGGAATCTGTGCTTAAAGAATTGAAGGTGTGATGGTAGGATTGCATCCAATAGTGAATATCAGTGAAGAGTTAGAAATTATAAAAAAGCATCAACTGGGAACTCTGGAGTTGAAAAATATAATAACGGAGATTAAAATTCACCAGAGGGGCTCAACAAGAGATTTGAACTGTCAATGAAAGAATCTGTACTGGAAGATAGCTTAATAGAGACTATGTAATCTGTGAAAAAAAAAGGAAAAAAGAATGAAAAGAAATGATCAGAGTCAGTTACAAATGTGAGACAGCACCAAGTGTATCAATGTAATGAGAGCACCACAACAAGAAGAGAAATAGAAAGAAGGAAGTTCTTAAAGAATAGGGCTTTAAAATTTCCCAAATTTGATAAGAGCATTTATTTATACACACATCGAGCTCAGTAAATTCCAAGCAAGATAAATGCAGAGATCCACACCCAGGTTCATCATAGTCGAACTTTTGAAAACCAAAGACACAAGGAAACTCTTGAAACCAGTAGAAGAAAAATAACTCATATACAAGGGAACACAAATAATATCAACTGACTTCTAGTCAGAAAATAAGGAGAGAAGGCAAAAGTACTATGCTCGAAGTCCTACAAGAAAACTGCTAGCTATGAATCTTATATCCAGCAAAGCCACTTTCAAAAATGAAGGTGAAATAAAGACATCAAACAGATGACAAATGAGAAAAATTCACTGCTAGCAAACCTGCCACATGAGCAATACTACAGGAAGACTGTCAGGTTGAAAGGCTGACATCGGACAGTAATTCAAATACAGACAAAGTTTAAAAAGCACAAATAAAGGTAATTGTATAGGTAATTATAAAAGACAATATAATTACACGTTTCCTCTCCTCTCTTTTCTTATTTAATAAGCAGTGGTGCATAAAACAATATGTATATAATTATACTACTGGGCTTATAACTTATAGAAATATAACATATTTAACAATACAGCACAAAGGAGGCTGTGGAGTAAGGAAATGTCACCTGCTGACGACTTGAATTCACACAAGGAAATGAAGGGGACCAGAAATAGTAAATAAGGTTAAAATGACAAACTGTCTAAATACACTTGCTCTCCTTTCTTCTCTCAATTTCTTTAAGAGACATGTAATCATATAAGGTAATAATTATGAACATTCTTCAGTTTATAACATGTATGGATATAAAGATGTATAATAAAAGACAAGTTTCTATATGTCACTGACATTTAGGATAAATCTGAAGTAGATACTGATATGGAACAGGCTGTTAAAAAATAACTGAAAAGTATAGTAAAAGCAAAAGTGAGCGAATTAAAGTGGTACACTAGAATTATCCATTTATAAAAAAGAAAGTAGTAATGAAAATAGAAGAATAAACATATGAGACATACAGAAGGCAGACATCAAAAGGGAAGATGTAAATTCTACCTAAGCAACCATTACACTAAATGTGAATGGATTAAATAAGTCAGTCAAATGGCAGAGGTGAGCAGAATAATTAAAGTAGTATGATACAACTGTATGTTGCCTAAAAAAGACATATTTTGGATTCAAAGGCACACAGAGGTTAAAAGTAAAAGGATGGAAATGACATACCATGTGGACAGTAACCATAGGAGAACTGGAGTAGCTACACCAATAGTAGATGAAGTGTTTAAGACAAAAATGTTAATGGAGGCAAAGAGGTGCATGTTACAGGGATAAAAGACATTTGAAGATGATATAACAACATATAAGCACATATGCATCTAACCATAGAGCCCCCAAATACATGAAATTAAGGCTAACAGAATTAAAGAGAACAATACACAGTTCATTAATAATAGTTGGAGGCTTCAATACATTAATAGATGGCAGAAGATAGAAATACAGAAGACCTTTACACTGCAAATCAATTAGACTTAACAGATCCTGCTCCTAAGAACCTCAAGGAGCCTCTGTGGGGTGATAAAGGAGCCCTTTCCCCTCAGCACAGGGCTTCTCTTGGGAGCAGGCAGCCTAGATCAAGGCCCTGGCTCCTCGGTCACATGGCTATGCCACAGCAGCTCAGCTCTGAGGGGCAGATCTGGTGGGAATGCTGGAACCTGGAGCCAGACGTTCAGCTGAGCTTATTAGCATGTGCTTGGGAAAGCATTCAAAGCCGTTTTTAGCCTTGTATGTTTTAGCCTTGTATTTCTCCTCTGTTGTATAAGGTCATAACGGCCTCCTCACAGAATTTCATGTAGTGTGGGTTCTGTGCCCCTCCTTCTTCCTCTGTCTGCCCTCCCTCCTTTTCTTTCCCTTTCCCCTCACAAACTCGCCCCTTCTCCCCTCTTTGTGTGTGTGTGCGTGCGCGCGTGTGTGCTTGCATTTAGGTATGTATGAGTATGTGTGTATGCAAGTCTATGTGTGAACACATGGGTTTGCCTAGCTCAGTGCCTGAATGCATTTAGTAATCTTTCATAAAATCAGCTATGATATGCACATATACCAATAACCCATGGTGAATACATCCACTATGGATTGCAAACATAAACTAATAAAATTTTAAAGTCAGCTACATTTGAGTCTCAAATTATCCCACACATCTAAGTGGAGAAGTAGACCAAATGGTTCCCATTAGTCCATTTGTAAAATGCTTTTATGAGCAAACAGTTCAGAATTTGTGAATCCAATTCTGGTTGCTCTGGGACACACTAGCCACTGGCTAGCGTGTGACTGGAGGGGACAGTGGAAGACGGGACAGTGTCAGCCAAGGTGTGGGGACTCAAGGACCTACATGGGCCCCAGTTCTGCTTCCTTCCTGCTGGATGATGCAGCCCTTAACCATGAGGATGCTCATCGGTTGGGCTGGTCTGAGTACTGGGCGCGTGGAGGGTGAACTGGAGCCTGGCCTGGTTGGTTCTCTGTCCCCCAGGGCATCACTCCCCTGGTGTGCACAGAGCTAACGCACAGTAACCATCAATGCTATGCACTGTGCCTGCCCACTCCAGAGGGCAGCGGGCTAGTAGTTGGCACAGACACCGCAAGGTCTTCACCGTCTCAGGTGCATCACTCTGAGCGGAGACGAAAGTCCTGCCTAAAGCCTGCCTCCCTGCTTCTGTACGTGTTGCTTTTGGTACAAGCAGCTATGACAAGGGTGCTCTTTCCTTTGGAGATACCTGTATTACCACATGCTCTTTTGGCCAAGCCAGGACAACAGTACTAGGAGTAACCAGCATCCTCAGAAAATGGGACATGCAGAGGGAGCCCAGCTGGCCTTGCCACTCCCACCTGCATGCTCGCTCTGGGGCTCATCTATCAACCACAGTTGAAAAGTAGCTGTGTTATTGAGCTTTGGGGCTCAATAAGGCCTGAATTCAGGTCAAAATGAAGGTGAGACTTATTTTAGATTAAATATTGATTTAGAGTACTAGTGCTGGGAGGTGGTGCAGGCAAATGGCTTGGTGATTTTCATCCCTCTCAAGGTGTGGCATATCTGAAAGAAAACACTCTGGACTGATGGGGACAGCTTTTTTGCAGCTGTTTGCGCTGGCAATGTAAGCTACTGAGATAGGGCATTCTTCCAGGGTGCACTGAGCCCCTCTCAGAGCTCCCATGACTCCCTGGTGCAGCACCAGATGTGCCCTGGTGGGAAAGACTCGAACCAGGCCTGAGGTGAGTAGACCCTGAGACAGGGTGACACTGTGAGGTAGGGTGACACTCCCGGAGGGCTGCTGTGTCCCTGGGCCACTGCTAAGGGGGAGAGGTACATGTCACAACCCTGTTGCTGACCTGAAACTGCTGTGTGTAAAACCCCTCTTCCACAAAAGGAGGGAAGAGCAGGAGGCTCCTGGAAGTGACGGAAAGGCTAAGGCCAGGGTATGTAGGCAGCATCTATCTGGGTAAGGGGCTTCCACCCCTACCAGTGCTGTGGGCTCAGGGCCCCTGCTGCTCCAGGCCCCAACTAGAGACCACCGAGATGCACAGCAGGGCAGCCTCCTGCAAATGCCACGTGCATCTCTGAGAGCAGACAGAAGGGGAATGGGCTGCCAGCCAGACTTGCATTGGGGTGGCTGCTACCTTGGTGGGCCCTGGCCTTGCCCTCCCCCTCGTAGAGTGCTGCAGTGCCTTTAGGTGCACAGGCGACATCAAAGTCTGTCTGCAGGGTGGCCCCTGCTGGCAGGAAAGGCCTGCCTTGCCCTGCCCTACCCTAGCCCCTGCCAGTTTCAGCCCTGTGAACTGGCTTGGTGCCTCTGTTCTGCCTGGTCTGTAGGGGAAGCACAAATGGGCCCAAGATGGACTGTGGGTCTGAGCTCCAGCTCTGATACTTTCTTCATCTGTAAAGTGGGGTCTTTATCACTAGCTGTGCCTAATCCTGGGGGGGTATGAGGTCAAATGAGACAAGATGTCTTGCTGAAGGCGCATTACAAAGGTGGGGGACGTAGGTGCACACTGACCTCAGATTCTGATGCACCCACTGACTTCTCCTTGAGGCTCATGCTCTCCGTGAGTACAGCACCATTGTACTTGTTGCAGATGTCCTCATCAGAGTAGCGCAGACCACCAGGGCTTGGTCGGGGTGGGGACCTAGGGTAAGGATGGATGGCATAGGTCACCCCTGCCACCCGGTCTGGGTCCAGACAGGATGGGAAGAAGGCCGCGCCCTTGCCACCACTTTGCAACGGGAGCACAGCATTCTGAGCACTGGCCAGGTGGTGACCAGACAGCAGCTCCCTGATTGGGAGCCTGTCGGCCACAGGCACCGAGCTAAGTCTGGACAGACGGAGACGGATGGGGCTGACAGGGTCATGATAAATGGTCTGCTCTTGCCAAGGTGGGTGTGTGCGAGCGGAGCCCAGCAACAGGAGGGCATCAGGGAAGTGTCAGCCTGGCCTCCAGCTCCAGTAGGGATCCAAGACTCAGGGTGGGGCCAGGGGGACAAAGAGGTCCCTGAAGCCTTAGTGCTTTGTTGGCCAGGGTTCCGAGATGCCTCCATCACTGCCCCTGGGTCACCCGGGCCCTTGAGTGTGGGCTGGGCTGTGACATGCTCCCAACCACTGGAGGACCGGGAGGGAGGGGCTCGCTGCCTGGACGGGTTTCCTTACATGGAGAGGGTGGGCTGTCACTCCCACCGCCTTAGGGTTACATGACAGTCATGAGACCCTGTCTCCGCCAACTGGAGATAGAGCTGCTCCTGCTGGCCTCGAAGGAGGAAGGAGGGAGGAGTCTTTAGGAGTGGCCTCTGGAGAGGCCCCTGGTAGGGGATCGTGAGCGGCCTCCAGACGGCACTAAGAAGCTAAGGCCATCAGTCACTGGGCACAAGGGAACCTGGGGAGCATGGAGAGGACGCGCGCCTAGCTGAGTGGAGCCGCCAGTGAGAACGAGGTCCTGGGGAGCGCTGGTGGGGGGCTGCACTCCCGCTCAGGACACCACAAGGGAGCTACTGTGTTGGCCTTAGCTGCTACCTGTGCAGTAACTTGTCACACAGCAACAGGAACAGACATCCTGGGGATGATCATCCTGCAGCTGACTGAAGGCCCAGCTTCTGTTTTTCAGGTGGAGAAACTGCAACTTGGGGAAGAACTCTGAGCGTAGACCCAATTCATCATTAAATGGGGCAGGCTGGAGCACTTCTTATTCCCTCAAAGCAGGTGGTGCTGCCGATGTCCTTCGGGGACCGGGATTATGTCCCGAACCCTCATGCTGTGAGGACCCAGCAGAGAGCTGGACAGTGGCTATAGACGGGTGGACTTTCATATCCCCAGGGAAACTCACTCTTGGTGATCTGAACCCAGAGAAGCCACTGGCCAAGACATCAGGCCCTGGGCAAGACTCAGCAGGAAGACAGGAGATGGAAACCTCTGATCTTACGCCACAGCCACTGCCTCCCTCGGGGTTGGCTATGCCTCAGTTTCTCAAGGAAAGGCCCAGGGAAGGCCCACAGGCCTCCTTCTCCACCTTGGAGATATTTTATTTTGGGAGAGACTCCCTTTGTCACCGACCCTTTGCCCAGGAAAGATGCCATTGAGGGCTGCTAGGCCGAGAACCTCTGGCTGCGTTAGGCCATTGGGAAGCCATGTCCTGTGATTTGCCAGCTGGCTGAACAAGGCAGAAGCTGATTCTGGACATGGGACTGCATACGTAGATAGAAGTGTGACCCTGGGCCTCAGAGATGGTCTCTTACAGATGCTTGAGGGTAAGATGCTGGGTGTTCCATGGGTCCATGCCCACCACGACCCCAAATCTGATGGCCCCCTAAGAATGCACACAGCACATGAAGGGGCCATAGGACCTCATGATGGAGGAGCCTTGGAGCCTGTACCCCCCACAAAGCCCGAGGCTGCCCACACGTAGTGGCTGGGATGCTACAGCCTCCGCTGTCCAGGCTCCACTTTGGAAGGGCTTCCTTACCCCTCCTGCAAAGCTCATACCCACCACAGCACCCCTGGGCCACACAGACTCCCTGCCACTGACACAGACAGCTGTTTTCCCTGGTGGGGGCCCTTCAGAGAACTCTCTGTGGGCCACGACCCTCCAGCTTCACCACGGATGCCTTTTCCTTTTCTAGAGGAAGTGCATGGATTTAACCCACGGCTGTCCGCAGGCTGTGTGCTTCAAAGCCATCAGCCGCTCTTACCGGGAGCCACAGGAAACATCTGCAGCCAAGGCAGCAGAATGTGTAATATTTAAAAATGCTCGGTGACAAGGCTTTCTTGGTCTTGAAATTATGGGATTGCTTTTTCACCTTTCTATGCTATAACAGGAAACACATGCCTCTCAGACAAATGGAATGAAAGATATGACCAGACACTGCCACTTTCTGCCCTAAGGAGAGTGATCCGGATTGGCAGCCTGCTCTGCCTTGGGTTAGCCACCTGATGGTGCTGGCACAGAGTCACTGCAGGCAGAAGGCCTGCCAGGGTGACCTCCCTCCTCCTGAGATGAAGGGGCCATCTATGTCACGTGGGAAAACTTGGAATGCAGGAAATGCTGAAAGTGACAACAACCTTTCCTTCTAGGACATGATCAAGTCTGCTGAAGTCTGGGGTGACAGCCACATGAACCAGGAGTTCCCCGATCCCAGGTGCCCTGCCAGGTGACACAGAAGGATGGCCTGGTGTCCCAGGTCTCAAGCCCCACACCCGAAGCCCTGTTCCCTTGTTACATTTCTGGGAGTGCAATGGAAACATCTCTGGCCCCTCTGCCACTGCCTCTCCTGGGTACCCTGCTGCCTGTTGGGCTCAGAACCATGCCTGTTGATGAACTATATTTGCTTCTGTGGAACTGGATTGGGATGCGGTGGGTTCCAGGGGTGTGGGACATGTACTCAGCTGGCACCCACCTCTGGCTGACCAAGCACCCATGGCTCCCCACGTGGTCCTGCTGTGGCTGTCTCACCTGGCCCCGCTACAGTCCCTTCCCAGCCCCAGGGCCTTACCTGGTCCCGTTCTTCTTCAGGAAGGTGCTCTTGACATTGAGGTGGCGGCTGTTGAGCTCCAGGGCAGCAAATCCTCCATTATCCAGGGTCACAGACTCCTCCATGTTGGAGATGCTCTTACCTAAAGCCCAACCGGGAAAGCGAGCACAGTTTCACTAACGTACCCACGGCAGCGACACTGAGCCAATTTGCAAACACCAAAAGTTCCAGGGTTCCTGCTGGGGCACTGGGGTCCAACCTTTGGCTTGCCTGGCTGTACTGAGTGAAGAGGAATTCTCTTGGTCCTCACACAAATATAGTTGTATTATATACACTAATACATCATAATATATACTAATGTATATAAGGAGAAAACTTTCTCTTTTCTGTTTCAATGTATTATTTTATGAAATAACACAGCAATCCCAAGTTTAATAATTAAATAAGGAAATGTACACATCTGCTTAACAACAGTAAATACCTGTCTTCATAGCGCGCACACCTGGAGGAAGGCTGAAAAGCTGTGTTTTATTGGCAGGAAGGATCCTCATGGGTTTTGACCGCATTGTGTGCGGCAGGTCCTGGAGGCAGGGTCAGCACTGCTCGCACCCTGCCCTACACCATGTTCCCAGGTCACTGTGCCGTCCATGTTAAGGAACGGCTAAAAGTCACAGAATACAGTAATGTTAAAAGTTTAGGGTCTTCGGGGCTGCACTGCTAGCTGTGCAGTTTGAGCTGGGCCGGTGAGATGGAAAACCCACCGTGGCACAGGCTCTGCTTCGGCTCAGGAGGCAGGGAGAGCTGAGCTAGGGGCGGAGCCGTGCACCCACTGCATCGCTGGAATGAACTGACAATTAGCATTTCAGCCTCTGTTCCGCCTGATGCCAAAATACTAGCATTCTTGCCAATATTTTATGAAAATGTGCTCAGAATGCATAGACTTATTAAAAGTCAGGGAAGTTAAATATTTAACAAATTTAAAAATTTTAAAAAATCATGTAACAAGACAGGAAATCAAAAACAGATTTATATTTCTATGTGATAGCCAGAGAAAGGGCACAGGGGTGGTTTCCTTTTGAATAAGGTGATAAAAATCTCTCCAAAAAGGACAGTGATGGTTGCATATGTCTTCAAATTAACCATCAAAGTGCACCCTTCAAAAAAATTTACAAAACATCAAAACACGTTCTAAAGCATATCAGCAGATGCAACGGAAAAGGCTGTAAGAAACCAAACACAGGACGGCATTCCCAGTGGACAGAATTCCCTTCCCCTCTCAGTCAGTGTGGGGGCCCGGCCCGCTCTGTGCCTCTGTCCTCTTCCTGGATGCCATCATTTCTCACTGTCCCCTCACACGGGTGGCTGTATGCTGAGCAGGCTCATCTCTCTGCCAGGTGCCCCTGCCTGGCACTCCCCAGAGCAGTGCCATGTGTCACCTATGTGTCACCTTGGGACGCTGCCAGCAAGAAGCCAACTCCAGATGCAGCCCTTGACCTTGGACCAGAAAGATGAGACAGAGCAAACCTCCTTTCTTTATATGTAACGTAGCCAGTCTGAGGACAGTGTAATCAGCACCAGAAAAAGGACTAAGACAAGGGTTACAGGACAGAGTACTCCCTCCTGGTGTCCCCAGAGCACACCCTCCCACTTCTCACCCACCTCACTCCGCATTAACATCCTTTTCACTCACCTGGGGCACTTACACACACACACACGCACGCATGCACGCGTGCACACACTTGTTACTTTCTGACTTCTACCTTCTCACTGGACAAGGTGCTCTTTGAGGTGTGAACTGTGCCCGTTACGGTCCCTGCCATCCTGCTGGCTGCTACGGTACACCAGTGTGTGGCTAGTCTGTGTTAACCCTGAGAGGCTTCTCCTCTAACAGAGTTAGAGACTGCTTTTGCTAACAAGTACTGCTCTTTACTCAAGCCTGTAGATGTCCGATGGGCAACTAAAAGCAGGATAAACACACAGCCTCTTTGTCTTCATCTTGTGTCTGGCTGCTTTGCCACCTTAAGCTTTGGGTCAGATTCCTGTTCTACCACACATAGAAGTGTTAGTGCCTTATGAGTGACTGTCTACAAACTGGTTACACAAGGTTGGTTAGTCCTAAGTTTTGTAAGTTTACTTAACTTCCCTCATCCCCTTTCAAGAGAGAACATATGAAGACAAGAGCAACTAAGATATTTTTAGGATTCCAGAAGCAGTGAGCCTGGTGGGCAGGTAGATCACCCCATGATGGATGGGACTGTCCCGGAGAGGACTGAGGCTGCCCTCTAGGCAGGACAAACATCTTGTGTGGGAACTTCATTGCCCTCTCAAGCCATAGTGGCTTCCCTGGAGCCAGGAGGACCTCGTGGAACCAGACCTGAGGTTCCAATCAGCCAGGCCACAGTCTGACCTGGGCTGCCTGACCATGCATGCTTCTAACCCCTGCATATGGACTCCTGGAGCTTATGTAGACTGGGCTCGGGACCCTACTGCCTGCTTCCCCATGTGACCACATTGAATAGTAACTTCCTTTCTTCCTCCTCACCACTCATGTCTCTGGACTCTCAGGTGGCAGGAGGCAGACCTGCTGGGAGCCCCAGAATCAGGACCTGTGACCTAGAACTCCAGTAACACTCTGCTGGGGACCTGCACCCTCCCACGTCCACTGATGCTTTTCGTACACTGATGCAACAGAAAAGCCGACAGACACAGCAGCAAGTAAGAGATGCACCTCCCTACAGTGGGGATTTGGGTATTGGAGTGGGCAGGCAAGATCCAGAATGGAAAGGAAGATGACCCAGGATAGCAGCTTGGGGAGCCAGAGCAGGAGGGGGAAGTGAGCTGTGCTGGCCTGGTGAAGGCTTCAGCTCCATACATCTCTAGGGCAGGAAGGTGGGCATGCTGGGAGACAAGCTCCCCCACCCTGCCCAGCCCCAGGCTTCAATTATGATTTAAATTAATACTCCAGAGTGAAGCTGGGTGTCAGAAGCTTCGGTCAGATCTGCCTTTCTCAGTCTGTTTTGCAGATGGAGGACAGTAAAAGCAGCGAGATTTTCTAAGCACCATACATGGGATTCTGTAATAGCATTAACCCAGTAAAATGACAGGCCATTCACCTATTGCAAATCCCATAGGAATAAAATCTGATTTATGAACACTTGTTAGAAGTGCATTTGTACAGGAAAAAAATAAATCCTTTCTTGGAGGGATGAGTTGCTGAATGTTACCAAAGCAAATGGCAAGGTCTGTTAGGGGCCTGGGCTCATTAACCCTTTCAGCACAGTGCTAGTGAGGCCTGGGGAGGGGATGCTCTGGTCTTGCTCCTCGCCCCAAGCCTGGGTGGCCTGCCTCTTCTTTAACAGCCATGTAGAAGGGTCACCTCTGGAAAGGACAGCTGGAAAGACCCTAGTGACAGAGCCGGGCTCAGGAGGACTCCAGTCCAGCTGATGAGGTGGTAACACAGGGCTGTCCACATTCTTTTTGTTTTTTCAGTAGTAGGCGCTGAGCCCAGGGGCCCTCTACCACTGAACCACCTCCCAGCCCCTTTATGTTTTGAGACAAGGTGTTATAATGTTGCTCAGCCTGGACTCTAACATCCTCCTGCCCCAGTCTCCCGTCCATATTCTGTGGCTCAGCTACAGCTTTGGTGGATGTTGCCTGGGATTAAAAACAGGCTGCAGGTACACAGCTCAGTTATTTTCTGGTTATGCAAAGACATGGCCTCACTGGTAATTACACAATTTTTTGTTAAAAAAAACCCGAGGATAATAAAATGCACAGAGTGCACTGATCTTAAGTGTCTAGCACAATGCTTTCTCACTGCAATCTCTGTGTGGAGCTTGGAGCACCCTTAGTGGTCCCCTTTAGGCTCCTCCTGTTCCTTCCCTGTCTGTGCTTCTCCACCAAGAAGCCACTGTGACCCTGCCCTGCAAGGACACACATTCATTTGCTTCTGATGTCCACACTAACATGCTCTCCTGCCTTACCCCACACCCATTTGTTCATTTCTCTAACTGTGACACATTCTGCAGGAAACATTTAGTGACTGAGCACATGCTCTATGCCAGGTGGTGAGCTTGGGTGGGGTGCAGAGCAGTGACCTGGTCCTCTGAGAAGTCTGAGCTGGACTAGGGACACAAGGTGAGGTCCAAGCTCAAGCCTGTGAGAGGGGCTGTCTCACAGAAACACTTCTGCGACACCCCATATGGCATCCTGAAGTAGCCCATGTGTACCTGAGTTCACTGTTTTCATAACAGCAATGTACAGGAATGCAACTGCCTACTGCTTATCCTTTCTGGTCATACCTAAAGCCCCAGTGCATTTGAGAGGGAGTGCACAGGAGAGAGCTGAGGCTGACTGACTGAATGATGGATGCTGTGACCAGGCAGGTGGCTGAGCTGAGGTAGCCAGGCAGGATACGGGTCACCAGGCCAGAGCTCTGGTTTGGCTCTGCCTGCTACCTTCAGGAGGTAAAGCCACTGTACCTATGTCATCTCCTCTAATGGCCAATGGAAGGGAAAGACAGGCATGAAGGGCAGATCCAGGAGAGACAGGGAGCTGGGTGCTGCAGGGATGTAGGGACATGGGGATGGGGCTGGGTGGAGCTCGCACCTGCACCACAGCTCTTGTACTTCTTGTTCTGCCCGTGTAGGACCAGAGCGAACACCACCAGCAGGATGATGATCAGGCTTGAGAGAGCCATCACCAGCAGGAACCACCACTCCTCATAGAACGGAGCTTCCACTTGGGCTGCAGAAGAGACACAAACGCACAGTAAGGCTGCACAGGAGCTCCAGACTTGGCTGTCACCTGTGAGCCTGGCGCAGAGAGGATGTGGGGGATGAGCTGAGTCTCAGGGAAGATGGAACCACTCTCCCAGGCCAGGCCACGGTGGGCCAATCGACCCCTTTTCCATAGGAGCAGCTTAGGCCCCTTGATCTCCACAGCAGGTTTTGGGATTGCTGCTAATTTTCCACCTCTTCTACAAAATGTGGCATGGGCTCTTCCTAGACACAGACAGCTCTGCCCTTGTCTGTTCCCGGCCTTGCCCGTCGGATCTACCATCATGCTCTCCCAACTTCATATGCTCACAAACACTGTCTGGTTTAAAGCCCTGCTCCCTGCCCCTGCTGAGCCTTCCTTCCGGCTGGCCCTCATGCCTTCACTGCAACTGGCATCACCTCTTGCCCATGGCACAAAACCTTGTCCTGACCTTTCTGCACCCTCCCAACTTGCTCAAATCCATTCTCTACAAGGCCACCAGCGAAGTCAAACTGTCCCCACCTGCCATCCTCCAGGATCGCCACTGGCTTTGGGGTAAAGGCTGAGCCCTCGAGGCCCCCAGGACCTGACTCTTGCTTTCTGCCCGGCTCTGGATCTTCCCAGATAAGCCTCTCCTGGCAGGCACTTACCAGGTGTGTTTGTCTGCTATCTGTTGGCCTCCTCCATCTGATCAGAGCCCCTGGAGGCTGGGCTGTGTTTTATCTATGTTGTGCCTGCAGCAAAACTGAGCTGAACTACCAGCCTCATTTTTAGATTTGTTTTTTGAGAAATGAATAGAAAAGGTTTCATTTAAAAGTTGCTTCTGAAAAGGGAACTCCTCTTCCTGAGGCTGTGTTTCTGTTTACCAAGAACAGGAAAACAGGAAATGGTTTCTCAGTGAGTGCCAGTTAGCCCTGGGATCCGCTATGTGCCCTCTAGAAGCTTCCCTACAGGAGGCTGGTTTGCAGCATTGGATGCCTGATGGAGAGCCTCTTACAGGCAAAGCCCACGGCCTGCCTACAGCTGCCCAAATCCACAGAAAACACATCTACCTTGCATTAAGTATCTCAGTGGATGGATGAAGAACGTGTGCACACTGGGAATAAAGGTGAAATTGGTTTTGGATAATGTTCCGCCACAGGGTTTCTTAGGAGATAACAGTATTTTGAATCTAAAAGATAGAGGTAGGTTTTTAGGCTGTGCATTCAATATGCCATATAACAAGCCCAACAAGGCCACCCAGAGTGGCCAGGCTCTGGCGCTGGTGGGAAAGACAGGGCAAGAGCCCCATGTGGCACAGCCCGGGTGGTAACACAAGGCCAGTGGGTGACAGTGGCTGCTCAGAGTGGCGTCCATGCAGGGTGCACTGGAGCAGGGTGAGGGAGCCCTGTGGCATGTCAACAAGGAGTGTCTGTCATCAGCTGCAGGTCTGCAATCACACTGTGTTGGGTTTTCAAAGACGAACCAGATCCTGAATTGCTGGGGCTCCTTATCCTACTTTACATTTTGGGGTATGTTTAAGATTTTCATAATAGCATTAAGTAAATGAGTATTTTCCCCCCGTATCTTGCTTATTGAAAGTTAGAATGGACCCCTGGGCCTCTCTTTGCTGCCCTTCTCACTGAGGTACCCAAATTCGAGGGCGCTCCTAGGCCTGGTGCAGGCCAGGACCTCAGCTCACCCATAGACCCTGCCCTTCCTCAGACCCCTGGAAGACAGAGAAAGGCTGTCTGCAATTTCAGCAAAGGTGGAAAGTAGCTAAGCCAACCTAAAAGCAGGGAATGAAGCCAGGTGGCATGGAACCCCAGCACTCTAGGAGGCTGAAGCAGGAGGACTACAATTTTTAGTATATGTGCTGCTGAAGCGAGCACAAGAACTGCAATTTTCAGCCTAACTTGGGCAACTTGGTGAGTGAGAACTTGCCTCAAAACAAACAACGAACAAGCAGGGGATGAAACTGTTCTTGCCATAAAGAAGAGCAGCAGTGAGGCTGGCTTCTCTTGGCTCAGTCTGTGATAGTTGCTGGCTGGACACTGGCCGTCAGCCCCGACTCCTCTCTGCCACTGGTTGCCATCGGCAGGTGCCTTTTTTTCAAATTCCATCATCTTGCTGTCCATTGTCCTCCAGTCCACCCCTCACTAAAACCCCCAAATCTAGGCTCACAACCTGCCTGCACATCAGGATCACCTGCAAGTTAAGAGTGAGAGGGCCCTGTACAGGCAGCTGAAATCATTGTCTTCATGGGGACTGGTGCGGGCTTTGTCTTAACATTTGTATAACTCTGAGGTGCAGCCAGAGAAAAAGGATTTTGCCCCTTGACCAGCCCCTACCTGACACTGCTGGGGAGGGCCTGCTGGGCTCCCCATACCCCATCTTGTTGACGGCCACCACACGGAACTCATATGTCACTCCCTGCTGGAGCTTGTCCAGGCTGACGGTGTAGGACGTGGCACTCCGGGGAATGTCCTTCACAAACATGTCCCACAAGCCTTCATCTGCAGGAGAACAGGGTGACACAGAGCAGAGGTGAGGAGGGTCTTCTCCCAGGTACCAGCTCCAGGCCCTGGACACCACACCACCTGGCCATCCGTCTCAGGCTGCCCTGTGCCAGGGCTGATGTGAGTGTCACTGGCTGGTGAGGGTTGCACAGGGCAAAGGGAGAGACACAAATTTCTTCGAGGACAGCCCCCCCCCCCCCCCCCGCAAAGTTGCAAGCTGGACAGCAGCATTTCTTTGGTCCTGTTCCCCACTATTCCTATTCCCCTCCAATTTCCTACTCCATCTGTCTTTGGGATCCCTAGCTGTCTCCCTCAGCTGCTGTTTTTACTGCCTGCTGTGTGCACAATATTACCATCCTCTCTTGACCCACTGAAAACTCTGCCTGGCCTGGCCACCCTTCTGGTCACCAGCTGGTCCCTGTGCATCGGGGGTGTCCCATCTGTACCCTGATTGGGAATAGCGTGCAGCCAAAGTGTCAGCTTCTCTCCTAGTGCTGCCAGCTTTGCAGTGGTACCAGGCCCAGCTGCCACACTGTGGGCAGAATGGCAGCACCTCTGAGGGCAGCATTACCCAGTCCACAGACATGCGGCAGAGTGTCTGTCACAGCAGAGCGCTGGATGGCAGCTGATGGGAGACGCGGGAATCATGGGATCTGTACCTGCTCAGTGGCAACGCTGCTGGGGTCCCTTCCCTCCCCCGGGGAGTTGGCCCTGGCTTTTGACTTAACCCATCTCCCTTTAAGAAATAAAAAGCACATCTCACTGCCAGTGGTCCCTTCATTTCATATAAACACACTCTTTGAGGCTGAAGCAAATCTGGTTTTCAATGTGAAAATACAAAAACCGTTCTTGGAGTTGTTTCTAAAGAGAACTTGTCTCTGATTCTAATGTAAAAGAAATGTATACGATCAGTACTTTATACTTTTTTTCCATGTGGTAAATTTCTAAGCATGGAATAGCACAATGCGGAACACTGCATTCCACACAAAAATACCATGTTTCTCCCTGGATCTTCTTGTCATTCTTCCCTTGTGAGAATGGCAAACTTTGCAGCGGCCCACTGGATTCAAAGATAATAGTAAACGAGAGAGACTCTGTGGCAAACGTTGGAAGTAAGATTAGAACTGTAATCTGTGAGTTGTCTTGGGGTAAGCATTACCACCACGAGCACTGCCAGTGAGTATTTTTCTGGGGCAAAGGGGAAATGGGTTAAAGGCTGGCTCCAAAACCACGCTGCATCATGGCCGAGCTGAAGTGGCTTCAGCATTAAACCTATCCTGAGAGTGCCCAGGTTTCCGGTCTATGTTCAGGTGTTACCAAATACAGGTATAAACTTTCAAAGTATATACTGAACTTTGAACAGATATTTGTATGCCAGTGTACATGGCGGCATGATTTGTCATAGCTAAAATGTGGAGAGAGCCCGAGTGTCCACGCACGGATGGATAAACAGCGTGGCACACGACAGAACTGTATTCAGCCTTCCACAGGAAGGGCATTCGGAAACAGGCGCCACAGAGACGAGCTTCAAGGACAGGATGCTCAGTGACATAGGCGTGCCAGAGAGACAGACACCAATGGCCTGGAGTCACTGTAACGAGAGCAGAGTTTCGGTCTGAGAAGACGTAAAGAGCCCTGTACATGGACGGAGGTGATGGCCGCACACTCTGAATACACTCAAGGCCCCTTCTTTGGACGCTCAAAATAGTTAAAATGGTAAGTTTTATGTTATGTGTATTTTTCCACAGTAAAAAATGCTGAATTTATTTAAATGCTGACATACAATGTTAATGAAATTGAAATGAAAGCCAGGAAATCTGACGAGGAGAGGAGGGGGGAGCAAATGGCTTCGGTCGGTTCTGAGGCATTCACTAACAGAGCAAAGTATGGACATTTGTTACCACAAGCAAAGACCCCGCAGCACCAGAGTCGAAAGGAATAGTCCGGAACTAGATGGCCCTTTGTGTGAAGCCTGTCCCTGCCGATTCCCTGTGTGATCTCAGGCACAGAACTCAGTCTCTCTGGGCCTTGCCTGTAGAATGGCGATAACAAAACATCTACATCATAGGTTTGCTCCGAGGGTTAAGCAAGTTACTATTCATAAACTACTTAGAACAGTGCTTCACACATAGCAAGCAGTACATGAATGTTTACAAAATAAAATATAAATTTACTCCCCAAGGAGGCTGTTTGCTAAAAGGTAGGCTCAGAGCCCAAAATATTCATTTGAAGTAGCGATCCTTCACACATTATATTTTCTTTTATAGGCACAGGTATGTGATACTTTAAAAAGCAGATCGAGAGAGGAAACGCCATTTGAATATGCATGTGCACATACTGACAGCTTTATGGGCCCTGAGGTGATCCAGGAGCCAACCTGACACACGGGATCACCAGATATGCTCGGATGGATTAGCCCCACGGTAAACAGCAGGAAATTGCCGATGTGTCAGGTTCTGTTTGCAGAGGATTTAGAGTTTGCCCGACTGAGTCCTCGTAGTCACAGGTTAATGAAGGAGTAGATGTGAATGATTTTAAAGGTACACATCTCTGCACAGGTGGAGGGGCAGAACAGCAATGATCTACCTCTAAATACTCACACTATTACCAGATCTCATCAAGTTACTCACTACCAGTAATAATGTCAAGATGGCAAGCTGCAGCTGAAGTGGGGGTTTTCCCACTTAAAATATTGCAGTTTACACATGGAATGACACTGCATTTCCATGAGGGTTCTACATAAGGACAATCAGCAGCGCTTGTACACTAACTCACAGCAAGCTGCTCCTTCACTGGGGAGTCTCCCTTGGGCCCTTCTGCACCCCTCATTCATGGCCAAATGCTCCAGGTCCGGCACTGTGGCCAGGCCCTGTTCCATCCCTTGGGAGCCAGATGAGACTGGTTCTCAGTGAGCCAGGCACAGTCCAGGGGAGGGGTGGAGGGGAGAACCAAGGTGGTGCCCACCCAGGGTCCCAGCCCCCTCTCCAGGAGGCATGGCTGCTTTACCTCTGGGCTCCTGGATTTATCGGGAGTGCGACAGACATTTGTCACCATCATCCACTTCTCCTCAGGCCTTGTCCTAGCAGACTTTCAGTAAACAGCAACCTTCACATTCTTAGTGCCTCCCACAAGTGAGTCGCTGTCCAAGGGTTTAAATACTGAATGAATTGTGGAGGGCTCCTCCTCCAAAAAGATTTTGGGGTGTAAGAGACTACAGGCAAAAAGGCTTATAAACTAAGTGATGTTTAAGCTCACTGAAATTAAGGTACCAAGAGGGTGAAAGAGTTTCAGAATCTTCTTGGGTCTGAACACCTCCACAGCAAGTTCTCTGAATATCTTTTTTTTGGTACCGGGGATCGAACTCGGGACCTTGCGCTTGCGAGGCAGGCGCCAGAACCACTGAGCTAAATCCATAGCCCTCTCTGAATATCTTTTGCATTCATGTTTCTCTCACGCTTTCTTGTGACTAGGGGAAAAAAATGATTCCCCTTCCTCTACCATCACCTACAAAGGCCACATTTTATTTTAGGCACTCTGTCATAGCTCTAGGAATGCTGTACATTTTTTACAAAAACATTTTAAAATATTGATACAGAATCTCAACACTGAAAGATTTATTTAGCAATCCTTTTATACTCAAAAATGGGGAGGAGATACCATATCATGATAATTTCTTTTTGAATTAACAGCAAAAAAAGTTCACAATTTTATTCTGCTTAATTCTGCCTTTCCAAAATTACCATATTCAGCATTTTATGGTCCAGTTATGATTCACTGGGCTATTTATCCATACCAGTATTTACACCATGATCATGAGTGGGTGAGAAAAAATTTGGCAGCCACTACAGTATCCAGTTTCTCAACTGTGGATTTTCTTTTTCATTTGTATTATGCTGCTAAATATCTCAATAAATCAAAGATGGAGAAAAGTATCTCTACAAATTAATGGCAAAAATAACATTACAGAACTATTAGCAATAATGAGATTTGTGTGACTGGTTTTCCACACACCAGGAGGATCCCTGTGCCTGGACTCCATCTCAGCCTACAGTGGGGAGGAGAACAGTACCATGTTCTTCAAAAATTAAAAAATAAAAATCCTGGGCATATAGCACAGAGGGTCCTCCATGTCAGGATGGCTCACCCTGCTGAGTGCTTGGGAGCGCTCAGCCTGGCTGTCCTCCGGGGGATGAGCTTCCAAGTTGCAATGATGGAAACCCAGGACCCCAACAGTAAGAGAACAGCTGTGGCCCTTCCAAAGCCAGCACCCAGATGATTGGCCCCTGGATGACTCAGCCGCTATATTACTGACCCCAGAACCAACCCTCCAGTGGGGTCACACTTTACACCTCCAGGCAGGACCTTCTTGGTATCCAGCGAACTCAGGGAGGGAGTTCAACCCCACTAGTCTGCTTCCTGCCCTGTTCTTCCAGCCACTGGGAAGAGCACTTTCTCCAGACTCTTGTTACTAAGACCTGTGGGAAAAATTCCATATCAAGGTCTTAGAAAAGCAGAGGAGCTATTGAGAAAGAAACTTTGCAAATATTCCTAAATCAGTCCCACATCATCACAAACCTGAAATTCATCAGGAGGAAAGATAAATGAGCATCCACATGTACAAGTCTGGCTCTTCAACTAGGTGGTTTTTCTTTAAAGAAGATCCACCATTTGATTCTGTTATTACATCATTTGTATACTAAAAGGAGGAAAGTGGCTAATATTGAAGATTCCTGAAAAAAGAAATCTTTTCTAGTACAAATAGGTTTTGCAATCTGAGACCATGCTTGTTTCTGGTGGACATAATGAATCAGCTTTTATTCTTCTGTGACAGTGTCTCTTGTGCCCTGACAGTAGGAGGCACATCTGCTCCCTGACAACATCCTGATTCGCGTGGAGATGTGATCTCCTTTGTGAAATGAGACAGAGCCTGCTCAGTGTGTCCAAGGGGATGACACTGCTGAATGCATCCCTCCGACGAATGCCCAGGACTGAGTGGT